GGGGGGGGGAAAAAAAAAACTTGTTTTTTAACCATTTTGAGGGAAAAAAAAACCTTGACTAGCAATATTAATTTTCAACTAGCAACTGATTATATCCTTACCAGAGTTTGTATATGATTTCAAAGAGGTTTTGATTTCACAAATATGGTTTGGACTACTTTGAACCACATAGACATTAAGGGAATAAACTAGGACAGGAAAGTAAATAGCACCAATTGTCTGCCTTCTATGTGCCAGGCAGAGTTGCAGGAACTCGACAAACACTATTTCATTAAATCCTAATATTAATCATTTGGAATTATTCCTCCACTTTCAGACATATCAGAAAAAGTTACTTAAGATGGACCTAACTGTACATCAAGCTATGATGCAGATTTACCTGTAGTAACAGTAATTAGTAACTACTGTTGCCATCACCCAAGGTGTGTGTTCAGCACCGTTTTAATAGGACCAGAAGGAAATATGGCTGTAAATGCACCTGCTCAAGGTCAAATACACATGGCTTGTATCCAAATGCCTAAATGCATGAAAAGCCAGGCCCGTCATTAAAACCCATCACTGAAGCTACTGGGGTGCTTAACTTCAATCCAAACCATGCCCTTAAAGGAACAATGAGAAAGTGTGTTTTAAGTCAAACTAAAATGACTTGAGAATAGTGCTCCCAGTCCCAGCTTACACTGCCGAATCAAATGCAGGGACATGAGACTCAGTAAGGCAAGATATAGGGGAAATGACAGCATTCTTGTAAAACCCTTCCCTGTTGTAGTAACACTGATGCGTTATACACAGAAGGGGTGATTCCTGACCATCACACATTTATTGGACAATGACTGGATGTCTACACTCCATCAGATACTACTGCTGGATATAAGACTGCTCCCAGCCCTAAACATTCACAGTCTAATAATTTAACAAGCTGCATGAGAAAGTCTGTACTCCTAGAGTGGGTCCTCCTACTTTGATATAAAAACCAAGATAGCCTTTAGAAAAGCTACAATGAGAGTCACACAATCTAAAATTGTAAAGCCCAGGCCCTTAATTGACTAGCTAGTGCTCCAAAAGCTCACTGACACACTTCATTTTATTTTATTCACATTAATAACAGATTTGATTTCTAAGTACAGATCCTGGATGGGTCACTGACTAGCTTAATGCCCTGAAGCAAGTTACTTCACATGCCTGACCCTGGTTTGCTCATTGGGAAAACACTGTCACAAGGATTAGAGATAATTATGCAATGCACCAACACAGAGCCTTGCATTTAGTAGAAGTGCAACAAATATAGCAAACATCATAATCACAGGATGTATAAACCAATAACAAAGTGACCAGAAACATCAAATTAGAAGCAATGGGGGGTGGGGGCAGGGACCAAAGATAGCTCTATGAATCAATAGCTAACAGGAAGTAAAAAGTTAAGAAAACCAGGTAGATACAAAACTTCAGAAACAGCCAACTAGAGTCACCAGACAATTACACTTCAATAGCACCTAAGGGCAACACCAATGATTTCACAGAATGAAACCATGACGGCCTAAAGATGACATTAAGCCATTTAAAACACATGAACCATTAAGTCCACATGTTTTTAAAAAAAGACAAGCACATAATTAAATGACTTTGGAAAGATTTCTTTCAAAAGTGATTTAGCATTACCAACTTAACATTTCATATGCCTAAACTTTAACTGCAAAATTCTATTCACAAGCTTCTGTTTAAGTATAGCATGTGCAAAGGAATCTCTTAAATTTCATAGCAATTTTTCTATTAAACACCAAAAAAGATGTCTTTTCAAATTAACTGAAATTTCAGTCCAATGGCTTAAGACATCATCAGCTCCTGAATAGCTAAAACAAGATAAAGTCTTGGTCTCCTTTATTGCTAAATGCTGTTATATCAGCAACAAAACACAAACATGTGCCATGCAGATCTCTCTTCACTTGAATTTTCTCCCCACATTTGGAAGGAAAGAAGAAGAAAAACATCTGTTCCTTTCTGCAGAGCTGACAACCCTCATTCTATGGTTTAAAAATAAAAGATGTTCATGGAGGCTTATAGATCTAACTATCACCTGCTTCAAAGGCAGCTGGCAATTAATTGATCCAAAGACATGCAAATTAGAGCCAGAAAACAATTTCCCTGAGGACAATGCTAGTCCTTGCCAGGGCTCTAGTAATTTCCAAGACACCCATAAAATACTAGAGGATGGTAAAGAATCAAAGAAAAGGCAGATGACAAGAAAACAGACAACAGCTGAGGAACAGAGGCCTGTGTCACTCTGGATTCCCTGGATTCACCACAGGGAAGCTTCCAGGAGAGCTGTCTGGAGAAAGCCTGCTTCACTGACCAGCAATCACCCTGCATCTAGCCCAGAAGACCAGATGCTCAACAATGAAAGGAGTTCACCATATTAATAATAGAAACTGGAAAATATTGTAAGTGAAGGCCTTAAACACCATAATATTTTTTTAAGTTTTTTCTCTATATGATGTCTTACTTACAGTGCTGAACATCCAAAAATGACTAATAAGCAAGAACATTCAGACTGGAATCAGTAGACTCAGCTATTTTTGGCTCAGCCTCTGAAAAAATTAACAGTGTGACCTTGAAAAAGTTTCATCTCTTTGTTTACCTCCATGTGACCACCAGCTACAAGATTAGGTTAAACCTACCAATTCTTTTTTTTTTTTCTTTTAAGAAAGTGAATGGGTGAGATAAATATACAGAAACTGCTATACAAATAACCAATGGTTACTGACCAACTACATCCAAGCATCAAATATAAAGCACTGCCCCATATGTATCACCTTATGTGGAATCTAATATATGACACAGATGAACTGATCTATGAAACCGGAACAGACTCACAGACACAGAGAACAGATCTGAAGTTGCAGGAAGGGGTTGAGATGGAGTGAAAGGTTGGGGTTGGCAGATGTAAGCTATTACATACAGAATGGGTAAATAAGAAGGTCCTACTACATAGCACGGAGAACCATATTCAATATCCTGGTATAAACTATATGGAAAAGAATATTAAAAAGAACGTATATAGTGACTGGACAACAAAACATATATATAACTAAATCACTTTGCTATATGGCAGAAATTAATACAACATTAAAAACCAACTATACTTCAATTAAAAAATAAAATAAAGGTGATGCCCATATTAAAGCAACTAACTACACAGTAAAAAAATTCTGCTTGGAGATCAATAAAACCCACTTACCTCCTGAACAGGAATCCTGCTAAGAGTCCCAAATTTCAAATTTGGAAATACTTAGAACATTTAAATGAAATGCTAGCTCCAAGAATACCCCTTTTATTTTCCTTAAGGAAAACAAAACTTTAACCTGGGGTTGAAGGGTCCTATGATCTTCAAGACTCAGATCAATCCTCCTATGAATTTCTGTCTCTTCACCCCTCGCCAAGGCGGTAGTTACTGCACACTTGATGCACCCAAAGTACTATATCCCTGTGTGTCCTGTACTCTGAGTCAGGGAGCCACGGAAAGGCAGACCAGGATCTAATGATCTCTGTGTCACTCAGCACTTAACATATTGTCTGGCACAATATGGCTGCCCTGTGTATGTATATACGTGTGTATGTTAAACGAAGGTAATGTGTTTTTCATTTAATATTCATTTGGAAATGAATATTTCCAAATTCTAAAGCTGCTTGGAAGAACAACATTAATGAATGGTAATCTTAATTATGGTGATACTTTCATTTTTAGAAAAACAAATGAGTGTTACCTACATAAGGAGGAAGTAATATCTCACCAACATTAAATTCACAAAAATTAACTAAAGAACTTTCCAATCCTCTTTCTCTAAAATAAGTCTTTTGGGGGTTTTTATGCTTGTGTTTTGTTTACAATTTATCTAGTGAAGATCAAACTATAAACATTCCTAACTTAACCTACAAAATAACAGGAAAGGAAAAGTAAAAAAGGGAGAGCAAGCATGTAAAACATGGAGGAGGCCACTATTAACAAGAATCTATAAATGTAAAAATAAGAGAGTCCATAGATGAAACTTAAACTGTAGTCAATACAAGCAAGTACCAAAAGTGAATAATATTTACCTAAGGGTGAGGCAGCTGTGTTCATTAAAAAACATAATCTATTGTTTTACAAAAACCTATTTACTAAAGTAATATCAGATTTATTAAAGAATATAAGATTTTAAGCTTTTCAAGTTATCTTTGAAATTTTTAATATTTCAAATACTTATCACAACCTACCAAGACTTGCATAAATTCTCATTTTCTCCTGCTTCTTAAATTCTTATACTCAGCTATTTAATAATTAAGAAAAATTAGTAAGCATGAAATGAGCTGACACTCTTACCAGCAGAAGGCCCTGGGATCTAACCAAGGATGAATTCACTGCACTATTTGACATTCACCACGGTGAGCTGACCCTTGGACAGGCCCTGAAGCGTCCACAGCAGACGCTGGGAAGGTACCAGCAGCATCCCGGGTGCTCTTGGCCTGCTCACCATCAGTCTCCGAGCCACACCCTGTCTTAGTCGGGCCATGAAACCAAATGTAAATGATCCCTAATACTCTAGATCACTCTGTATTAATTTTCTGAAAGCATGTGTGAGATTTGGTTGTGTCAGCAAACAGGAGTGACCACCTAAGTTCACTAAGGTGTCCACCCTGATCACCGAGAGAAATTACGCATCACACGGCGCGCAAAGGCGGGTACATCAGAGCAGTCCTAGAATAGATGATGTGTCACAGGGCTGTGAACAACCTCCTTATTTTTAATGCTGTGGGAGGACGGGAAGAGAAGGATGGCTTTGCAAACGGTGCCAAAAAGGAGTTGATCTGCCTGGCGTGAACCGGGATATTTTGGAGAAGTGGACACAGTGGCCCTTTTTCTAGATGACTTAGAACAGACACGACTAAGCTGCTCCCTTTAATTCTCTGTATGCAAATCGAAGCATTTCCGAAGGGCAGGTGCCCAGGGCCCCGAGCCCAGGGCTCACCTGCGAACACACCCTGGAGGCCGCCTGCCCCGCGCTGCACCAGGTGCGCCGAGACCCCCGCCCCGGGAGCACGGCCCAGCTCCGCAGTCCAGTCGGCCGAGCGGCTGCGGCCCGCGCGGGGCTTCCTAGCCGGGGCAGCGGCGGGGGCCGCGGGGGCTCCGGAACCGCGGCCCAGGGAGGACTCCGGCCGTCTCTGGACCCGGGGGCTGTGGCTGGGGGACGGAGACGGGGAGGGCCCTGGCGAGCTGAGCTGCCGGGTGGTGGTCCTGACATAACAGGGCGCCAGGAGAGGGCGGGCCCGGGGGCGACGCGGGCTGCAAGCTGGACTGCGTGGCGGGGAGGCGGCCACCGGGATGACGGGCTTCGGCGCGCCCTCCTCGCGCGTCGCCCCTGGTGTGCGCGGGGCCTCTCCCGCCGCCAGACCGCACTCCACCCCCGGAGAGTCTCGGGGCGCGTCCTCGAAGGCGTCCTCCTCGCCTTCCTCGTCCGTGTCCGCTGCCCCTCGGTCCACCGGAACCGACCCAGGAGACGCGAAGGCGGTGGCTGCGGGCGGCTCTGCGGCCGGGGGCCTGTCGGGGGGCGCGTACAGCGCCGCTTCGGCGCTGGGGCCCGGCGAGGGTCGGTCCAGGCCAGGCAGGGCCTCAGGCAGAGAGGCGGTGGAGGGGGGCGACACCGGGGGCGACTCGGGGCCCGGGGACTGCTGCTGCAGTTGCTGGAGGCGGATCGCCTGCTGGATGTCCGAGAGCAAGTCCTCCTGCTCCGCGGCCGAGTGAAAACTGTAGAGGTCTGTGTCCGAGCCCGAGCTGGTCCTTTGTCCATCCTGCGCCCCCGCCGCGGTCTCCGAATACTCGGCCACTGCCGGGCCGCCGACCCTGGCCAAGCTGGGGCCCCCGGGACGCGTCACCTCGAAAGGATCTGGACATTCGGTATCCGACAGGCCCGTCTCATCGGCTGAGAGGCTGAGGTCTGGAGTTTTGGTAACCAGAGAGTGGGCGCTGTCCAGCTCGCCGGCCTGCAGGGCCTGGGGGTCCAGCACATCCTCACGAGAGCCGCCAGTACCTCTGCCCTTGGACAGGGTCTTTCGGATGCGCAGGTTGGAGAACACCGAGGCCCTGGGGTCCGACCGGCTCTTCTTCCGGCCCGGCTCCGCGCCGCCGCCCCCCTTTCCGTGCCGGCCCGGCGCCTTCTTGCCCCCGCCCGCCTTCTTTGTGCCCTCGGCCTCGCGGGGCCCAGCGGCGTCCTCACCGCCGCCGCCTCCATGCGGGACATCGCCCGCGCTTCTCTTCGGCTTCGCGTCCTGGTTCCCCATGCTGCAGCCGCCGCCGCTGCGGGCGGTCAGGCCATGTCAGCCCCTGGGCCCGGCAGCGCCGGGCTCCCGGCGAGTCGCGCGGCGGCCGCACAGCTAGGCGGAGGGAGGATGTCCGCGCACCTGCCTCGCTTCGCACAACGCGCCGAGGCTGCGCCCGCCCGCGCGTGGCTGAACGCGCGCACGCAACACCGCCAATGACCGGGCGGGACGCAGAATGCCCCACCCCTCCCGGCCCCATGACCACGCCCCATCGGCTCTAGGCCCCGTCCCTCGGCCCTGCCCCTCCTCCGCTGAAACTCCAAGAGCGCCCCTCGGTCTGGGGACCTAACCGCCGCCAGAGCCCATTGCCTGGTCCCCGCCAAACAGCTTGGCAGATGAAAGATCCACGCTGAGAAAAAGAGAAAAAACTTAAAGAGGAAAAAGGGAAGCCACATTTCAGTTTAGTGGTGTGGTAATATCAAAGCTACATACTGTACTTCCAACCTGCCTGAAGAAGCATGGTTCTTTGATAAATATTGGTTGAGTAGATTGGTCTTTTCTTCAGTAACTGATCATCTTAAACCCTGTTAATGTGCTTGGCATATGGTTTAAAAAAGGTTACTATACATAATACTGATTTTTTGTTATTGCAAAACTTGCATCTCCTTAAGAGAACATTTCATTTCATTTCAAAGCGGTCATTTCAAAGTCATTTCAATTGGTCATTTCAAAATTTCATTTTTCAAATTTATTTTTGACAAAATAGAGGTCGGTGGAGGAGGTTCAGGAAATACTAAGAGATTAGACTCGATTAAAATGCTAATCTCTAAATTTCTATGCATTCACCATATAAACCAAACAGCATTTATATTCAAAAAATCAAACTCATCAATATTAAACATGCCCCTGTTGTTGCCACCTACAAAAAAGAGAGGGAGAGAAAAAAAAAAAAAAAANACCTACACAAAAGAGAGAGGGAGAGAAAAAAAAAAAAAGGAAACATCCTTGCTACAAGCCCAAGAAATCACATGTTATGTGGAAAGCCACCACTCTCCCAAGCAAACCCTTCAAGAGAATCTTTTGTTTTGGCCTTTGCTGTGAAAGTTTGTCACAGTTCACTGTCTAGGGGAGAAAAATGTGCTGACTCCAAATGAGTCTCCTTGGCATTAGGATTCATTTAGGCTGATTATTGGGGGGAGGACAAAGCATATGGGATCTTAGTTCCTAAACCAGGGATCAAACCCGAACCCTCAGCAGTGGAAGCTCAGAGACTTAGCCACTGGACCACAGGGGAGGTCCATAGGCTGACTATTTTTAAGAAACAGAAGATTAAGTGTTTCTTTTTACTTCCACTTATGGAATAAGGAAGGGCTTCCCCCCCAGCATGGCTCAGCAGTAAAGAATCCACCTTCAGTGCAGGAGCTGCAGGAGACACAGGTTGGATTCCTGGGTCCGGAAGATCCCCTGGAGAATGGCATGGCAACCCACTCCAGTATTCTTGCCTGAAGAACCCCATGGACAGAGGAGCCTGACAGGCACAGTCTATAGGAACGCAAAGAGTTGGACACCACTGAATGATTAAGCACATCAGCCTAAAGAATTCATGTATTAAAGCTGAATAATCAGCAGATATATTCACCACGCTGGGTGTGATGGGGAGATTCAATGGACCTAAAGGTCAGAGTTCATTCTGTCCCTTGTCTCTGCTGGCCCGGAAAATGCTCCCTCACCAAACAGTTCCTCTTCTACCTCCATGTGAATTGCCTTCCTCCCCTTTGAAGTGCCAAACCATTACCCTCAACACCCTCTGTTGCCTTTAGCTGTAGACAGTCTTTAAGGTGAGGGCTGTGGCCATTTTGGCCACGATTCTGTTTTCCAGGGTCTCTCCCATATGTATATGTTATTAAACTCTTGTATGATTTTCTCCGGTTAATTGGTCTCATGTCAATTTAATTCTTAGACCAACCAGAAGAATGCAGAAGGGTAGAGAAAAATTTCTTCCTCTCTGATAACTGTTAAAGAGTTTCTTACCATTTTGTTCTAATTCTAGTATAAAAATTTTCCTCACTGTAAATCTTATTATTTTAATTACTTAAGCAATTTAGTTATCTATATTTAAAAGATATTTTTAAACACCATTGGCATCTAAAGAAGCTCCAAGCAGCAAATTAAAATAAGAATAAAGTGGCATTAGTCAATAATGTCACATGTATTTAAATTAGAAGCTAATTGTTAATCACTTTGAAAATATGGATACCTAGCTAACATGGTAGTATTTTTAAAGCTCAAAGGAGAAAAGAGCACTGCGTATTACATGATGCATTTTAAATGCCACAAGCGAAGATTCCTTCACGTATTGTGAACCAACATTTTCAACCTCCCTCCTTAACCATTTTATCAAAAAAACTTTTTAAGGTCTTATAATTCTTTGAGGTAAAAGCATCATGCAGCAATAATTACTAATCTTTTTCAAATTATATTCTTAAAATAGATGATACTTAAAGGCAAGTGGTTTTCAGTTATTCTCAAGTGACCCTTTTGAGCAAATAATTCTGAGAAATCAACTAATAATTTTGCCAGGGTATGATCCCAGTCTCTTTCAGTTCCAGAAGGCTTGAAAAGCCTTTGTTTCAGGTCTTTCACAAGGCTGCTCTCTCCCAGAATCCAGGTTCATCAGAGGGCACAGTTTGCCTGAGGTTGTAAGAATTCTCTGCTTCTCTGAGGACTGATGTACTGTGAATCTTTATTTTGCTTTTTCTTTACCCAGACATATTTGATTCTGAACTATTTGTTTCCTTACTACTTTTTCCAAGATATATTCTACGAATTATGAAGACAAAGAAGAGAAGGAAAGGGGAAGGCAAAGAGGGAAGAAAAAAGAGAGGGAAACTGAGAGAAGAGCCTGGTTTTCTCACATCCTTTGAATGTGAAACAACAGATGACAGCGGTGTAGAAAGTCAAGATGACAAGGCTTACTTGCTAAGGCTTACTTGAAACTCACAAGTGTGCTTGGTAGGTAGGAAGTTACTTTCAATCCAGTTTAATTAATAAACAAGTTCAGACTAAGACCAAGTTCACAAAGCAGCAAAGACAATACTTAAACCTTCAAGTTGAGATCCCAAATTGTATAACAAGCAACTCTACATAATTTACTTTTTTCCAGGAAATGGAAGAAATGAAAATATTTATTCTGTTCTTCTGTGTAAGGAATCTGCTACTAAGCTAAAGAGTTCAGTAAATGAAGTTGGTCTTCCAACATGAAAGGGATCATTCAAGGACTCTTAAGTTGTCAACAACCATTCAGAATGAACTATAGAAAGTCCACTCTGAGTGTCTCAGCCCATAAGGTACCTAGTTCAGTGGCAAGAAGTAGCAAAAAGCCTTCTAGAGACAGAGTCCATGAGAAATTAAGATTGAAGAAGCCAGTCCTTAGCCTTAGAGTACCATTCTTCAGTAGAAATATAATGTGAACCTTATCAGTAATTTATTTTCTAGTAGTCACATTAAAAAGGAAAAAAACAGGGAATTTCCTGGCAATCCCGTGGTTAGGACTCTGTGCTTTTACTACAAGTTGTTGTTATTTAGTTGCTAATTTGTGCTTACCCCCTGCCTCATTTTCTTTTAGAGCCTATACTACCCCTATAACACCATGAAGACACAATGAGCAAACTGCCTAAGAATTCCCAACAGGAAAGGTCTTTAAGGAGTGTGTCCAGATATTTCAGTTTGCAAAATGTACTTATATCTAATTTAACTGCATTTTGGTTGAAGAACATACTTTTTGTATTCCTATCCTTTTTATGAGTTTCATGGCCCAGCATATAGTCTGCCTTGGAGAATGTTCCATGTGTACTTGGATTCATTTCCTTTAATATCCTAGATTCTATTTTGGAAGCTCCCACCTGGACTGCAAATGATCTATTGCAGCTAGGTAAGTAACCACTTACCTGGGCTTCCCTAGTAGCTCATCTCATAAAGAATCCACCTGCAGTGCAGGAAACCCCAGTTTGATTCCTGGGTCAGGAAGATCCGCTGAGGAGAAGGAAAAGGCTACCCACTCCAGTATTCTGGCCTGCAGAAGTCCATGGACTGTATAGTCCATGGGGTTGCAAAGAGTCAGACATGACTGAGTGACTTTAATAATAAGAACCACTTACCTCTGTTGCTATCTGTGTTCTCATGAAACCCAGTCTAACTGGCTCTCTGGCACAAACTGTGCGTGTCTAATAAACACTGCATTTTCTTCCTGGGCCAAAAAATAAACAGGATTGCCCTTTGGGTAATTTCATCGTGGAAATCTGGAGTGGCATTTTAAAAATAACTTTCCAAAAACTGTTCATCCTGTGAACCAAGAAATGTCAAAATTTGCCTTTATATGTATTATATTTATTCCATAATTGGAAATTTTCACTGTTAAGTATGTTGGTGTCTGGCAAGTGGTGCCAATTAATGCTTGACTACATTCTTTATCTTGTGGAAAGTTCAAAGTTCTAGAATGTAATGAAAGATCTAACCTGGACCCCAAGATTGTCAACAGCAAGGAGACCTCATGCTGTTATTCTCCAAGTGGGAAGCATTTTCCCTTTCCTATAAGGGGAAAGTACTTCCCTGAGTGACACTGGTGAAGAAAGCCACTTTAAAGGCCAATAATATGTTGGCAGTTTCCACCAAGTGAGTTTTCAGAATCAAAGTTGTGAGTTAAAACGTTTGTGGGGAATACATGTAAATCCATGGCTAATTCAATGTATGACAAAAACCACTGCAATGCTGTAAAGTAATTAGCCTCCAACTAATAAAAATAAATGAAAAAAAAAAAAAAAACGTTTGTGGGAATTTATACTGATTCCTTCTTAGTAAAATTATGTTGGCTTCTGCTTGAAGATTCATTGATTCTCTGCCCTTTTAGCTTTTGCTTAAGACCACCTCTTAGAATAGAGGTGCTTCTGCAGCACAGGTGCCTTCAAGTGTTTTCAAATCCCTGTACTATTAACCTCCAACCCTGTGAAAGTTTGGTTTGCTTT